CTAGGTAAAACACCTTTGCCTTCAGCTTCAGCTTTGCTGCCACAGCTGAAAGTTGTGCCAAGCTCTGTATAGGGAAGAGCTATCATCTCACAGAGCCCAGTGCAAGGCTTGGCTATCCCAGGGCAGCCAAACTGAGCCTCCTGTGAGGCTCTGGTTCCTGGCACCTGCCTTCCTCTGCTGATGGCAGAGGTAGGAGGACCAACAGCCAAAAACAGCTTGAAGAAATCTTTGCAGCCACTGCTCTCTGAGGCCCTGGAGCAAATGGCTTAGCCCAGGATAAGCGAAAGGATTTCAGCTTTTACTTCTGGGCATACCTTCTGGGCCCACAGGGAAAAAGCCAATGAGGCAGTTTGATTTCACCACCTCTCATCTGTCAGCTGTACCACAGGCTGAAATCTGGCTTGGTGTGGAGGCATGAAACCAGCACAGCCCTCACCTGGAGGTATTCGCTGAAAGGGATTTGTCTCCTGGTTGAAACCACCTTTCCTGCCTGTCTGAAATAAATAACCAAGTGAGGATGGGACTTAAAGTAAACAAAGACCAAGGCCAAGACATTACCAAACACAAACAGTCTGAAGGAATAGAAAACACTGTTCTAGAAATCTGTGGTATGATACAGGACACACATACACACCATTTTTGGAAGGGAGAGGGGAATTTCAAGTGATGGTCATTGTTTAAGCAATGATGAAAGGGAGAAGTGAAAGTTACTGTTTCATGCCTGAGTGCTTTCAGGGACAGTGTGCCACCATGGCAAGGGAGCTTAGGCTATGCTGTGCAGTTCTCATACTGCAGTGCTCTGTCATCTCAGCAGCAAACTGCTTTTTGGTTCCTTGCACTGTTAGCTAGCTGAAAAAGCTGTGAGTGATGAGCAAGCAGTGCATGTCTCCCTTCAAGAAAAAATGTTCATTCAGCTTTTGTTATTCCTTTCAATCTCCCTTTCTTCTAATAGGATCAGTAAGGACAAGAAAACAGCTGGATAAATGAGAATCTGGTGGTCAGTCATTTGTCCCAGTATTAGGTGCCAGGTTTATTCAGAATATGGTTACTTGCCATTAAAATCTGCTGCACCGAGGAGTGCAATATGCATTGTGCATTAGCGCTTGCTAATGCTGTCCCCATCACGCAACAGCATTTACCATTTCCTGTTAACAAACTGAAGTTTCCTGGGGGACCTCCTGGTGTACCATAAGCAAAACAAACTGCAGACCGTGTAATCCCGTGAACTGGTAGGACATGCCCTTGTAACCTCTCAGACCTCCTGTTTTCTGTGGAAGGCAGTCACCCTGGGCTTTGGGTGTGAGCTCTGGATGCAAGTGGCTGCAGCTGAATCCCCAGCATGGCAGTAGAGAGGAGAGTGCCATGGGACTGCAGCTCTCAGTGCGGAAGAGGCAGCAGTCCTGCAGCACATGGGCTGCCACAGGCAAGCAAAGGGAGAGAGACAGCCTGCAGCCACACTGCAGCACGCTTCTGTCCTGCAACTGAGGTGACAGAGGGTTTTTTCCAAGGATCTTGTCTGTAAAAGCAGAGTGCAGGTGAAGTGATGCATTTGTCTTGAGGATGAAAGTCTCAGTCAGGCTTCCCAGAGCTGAGTCCTTGGGCATGCTGGGGCAGTGGTCGGCATGCTTTGCTGGAATGGAGGGAATGGCAGGTTTTCCTCCTCTTTGGCTGCTTGCCCCCAACTCAAGGCAACCAAATGTGGCCACTGGCAAGGCTCAGAGTGCATCTTATAGCTGCTTTAAACTGTACAAGCTTGCAGCCGGCTCTGGGGGCCGCTTGGCTGCTAGGATATGCCATGGTACAGAGCTGGCTGCCTGCTCCCCTTTCCTTCCCAAAGCCCCTTCGCCAGGAGGTGCGATGGTCAGGTCACCCCCACAGGTCCAGCCAGCATGGCTTTGCAGGAAGCATGGGGCCACTGCCACAGAACAGGCTCCTGCATCTGAGATGATCATTTCCAAGAAGAAATGAGTATTTTAGGTATGACATTTAGCTTCTAGCCTTTCACTAAAGATGAAGTAACAGCTGTGACACATGAGGTTATTTAATAACCTGAATATTAAAAGAAAGTGCTTCAGATGTAGAAGGAAGCAAACGCAGCAGTGAGGGAAGGTAGGTAAATAGCAAACACACATTGTTTGATAAAAGTTGCGTAACAGTTTAGTTTCTTCTGCATTGTGTCACTCAGTGGATCCTCTCTGAAGAAGTTGTATTGTGAATCTAACACAAGCAGTAATTTTTTTCTGTTCCTCCTAGTTGTCCTCAGCTGTGCTTCTTCATATGACATCTCATTTTACAGCCATTGTCAATGAAAACCATGCAGTAGCTGCCATCGTAAAAAGAATTAAAATCAGATACCTGTCTTTGATTCAGCAAATAAGGGCATTTTCCCCAAACTTTAATAATTGAATTTGTGTGCCTAAACAGCACTTGCAAAGCAGAGCTTTTGCAGACACAGACGTGAAAGACAGGAAGAATTCCCCATACAGGTTCAGTTCTTTGGCATGTTCCTGAAAACCTTTTAATTTGCACAACTAACTTCCCAAATGAAACAAAAGCTCCTAATGTGTTGCACAGACAGTTACTTCTTCTCCCACCACGATTGGGAATTTTGCCTCTCACCGTGGCCAGGTACTGTGTTCTCACAGTACCTTGAAAAGATTGCTTAGTTCAGTTAATTTCTCAAACCTATCTTTCTAATGTCAATATTGAATTGTTGTTCTATCAAAAAACTAAAACTTCTCAGATGGGGAAAAATACACCCCTAAGCTAATAGAGAAACAAGTTGAGAATATAGGAATTTTGTTGTCTTTGCTTATATGATGTCATATCATCCTGAGGAACTGAGGCAACATAACTAAATTTATACCCATCACAGATTATGCAATGTCATCACAAAGCAATCAGATTCATAGTACCGTACTAATGTTGGGTTTTTTTCTATGATTGGTCATAAATACCACACAAAAGACACTATGACTATTTCATTTCATCAGATACATGATTTTGGCTGTGAAACATTTTGTCCATTGCCACCAGATGAGTATATAAGCTCTACTGCTCTCCCTGTGTTCTATTTTTTAATGAGTGTTTGTCTTCAGAAAGGAGCTGGTTCCATTAAATGTCACCTGATCCCAGCCTCTCCACTGGGCATAAGAGCCTCCGTGCCCTCTTTGTGTTACAGCAGAAAACAGTATGTGCAATTAGAAAAAAAGAAAAAAATCACATCCATGTAGCGAGTTCTCTGTGTCTTGCTCAAAATCTGAAGACATAAAATAACTATATCCCCGTTAAGGAAAAGAAATTAGAGGAGTTCTTAATTTGGCTCTTCAGCTCCCTGAAAGAGCTGTGGTCTCTCCACTTTGCAGGTAATGGAAGGCTTCTCTTTTATCAGCCCTGCTTTTGTCGCCACACCTTTGCAATGCTCCTTCCATCATTTCCCTGGGTGTAAAAGGGACCAAAGGATAAATCCATGCAGTTCTTCAGAGCAGATCTGTGATCATAGCGTCAGACGTGGCCACCCAAGCAACTGGGCTGTACAGACTGCCATGTCCACAGGGTCATTTGGAACAAGCAGCACAAGGGCTGAGCATCTCTCTGCATCGTCCCTGCTCACACCTTGAGAGGATCGCATGACTCAACAAGCCATGCACAAAGCATATATCCAGCAGCATGCAGGGGCCTCTGGCATTTGGGATGTTGAGTCCCCTCTATGTCACCTAAAAAAGGGCAGAAAGAGTCCCTTCCTGAACTTTTGTGGTTACCCACCATGAAGGACATGAAAGCCACAGGGAAAATCTGCTCAGGCTTCTGGTGCTAGTTAACATAGTCTTGGCCTCAGCAGCATCCTTATGGAAGGTCTTGGAACTCTACACAACTGGAGTGACACGGAGTTAAATGGTGGTGGTGGTGGGTGAGGCCTGTACATTTTGTAAGGAAAATGTGCAAAAAAACCCAGTTTGCACTTTGCTAATGCTCCCAACATTAGAAAATTCAATATTTTACTTTTGAAAAACATTACAACTCCACCTGTTAGGGCTATTCTTTCAGATCTTTCAGATTTCTTGCCTCTTCTGTGTTGACTAAAATGGATTCATAAAAGGTTACAAGAGTTTTCTATATTTTTTCAAGAGGTGAGGGTAATTTTTCTGCCTTCCTGATGCTCAAAAATAAGCAAATGTGCTTTAGGTCAGAGCTCAGGAATGGCAAATTTCAGAAGGTTGACAAACAACTTACAAAGGAGGCTGCACTAAGAGCTGCTAGACCAGGCAATAAGCGGTAATAACTTGCAGTCCCTAAAATTATGGGTCCTTCCCTGGTTAACTGAACCTCTCAGAGCAAGAAAACTGATGTCAGTCTCTGCCATTGCTTCCCACTCTCAGACTTGTTGAGGATTTGATGGGGGAAAGAGGGAGGGGGAAACAGGGCAAGATGAATTAATGCCAGTTATCCCTGCTACACGGACAATCTCTACACTTAGGACATGCTTCTGTAGCCTCAGAGCTAGTGCTAGTCCCCTGCTGCTGCCAGGTTGCCGGTATACCCACACAGGTGGCATCCCTGGCCCCATTACTCTTATGCCTTCTGTACCTGCAGTTTATCTGTTAGAGAGAGTAATTTGGCAATCCTGAGCACGACAGAGTCCCCGGAGATGGCCAGGCTGTAGCGCTCCCTTTGATGTTCACCCCGATCACTTGAAAGTGGAAGTCCAGGCCTTTTGAGTTTGCTTATTTAGAGAGGCCAAACGGCAGGTGTACCTGGCACAGATGCAAATCACAACCCACCAAAGTTACCAGCAAGGGATGCAAGGGAATAATCCTGCTATTTTAATGCATGTTTCCTTTTTTTGCAATGAGTGTGCTATTAATACTACAGTTACCAGAACTTCTGTTGTTGTTGCTTAGATCGAATAGGAAAGGGAGGTGAGGAGCCGCTGTTGTTCTGGCTGCTGCTGCGTGAGATGCACTGATGAATAACGTATGTGATTTCTCTTTCCCTTGTAGCTGCACTCTGCTGTGACCAGGATCCAAGTTCAAAGACCTGGTTTCAATTACACGTTTGCCCATATATGTATCCTGAACAATGACAAGACATGCATAGTGGACGACATAGTGCATGTACTGGAGGAATTAAAGGCTGCTCGTTCTTCTAATCGAACTAATTTTGCAATCACTTATCCGATTACTCACTTAAAGGATGGCAGGGAAGTGTATAATGGGCATCAGCTTGGTGGGGTTACTGTGCACAGCAAAGACCGGGTGAAGTCTGCAGAAGCCATTCAGCTCACCTACTACTTGCAGGCAATCAACTCCTTGAATGACATGGTGGCAGAAAAGTGGGAATCCATTTTTTGTGACACTGTTGAACTTTTCCAGAAATCCAACAGGAAAATCAAAATGTATCCTTTCACTTCTTCTTCGCTGAAGGAGGATTTCCAGAAGACAAGCAGGGTGTCAGAACGCTACCTGATCACAAGCTTGGTCCTTGTGGTCACCTTGGCCATTCTCTGCTGCTCCATGCAGGATTGTGTCCGCAGCAAACCCTGGCTTGGCCTGCTGGGATTGCTGACCGTGACCCTTGCCACCCTGACTGCAGCTGGGATCATCAATCTCACTGGTGGGAAATACAATTCCACCTTCCTGGGAATCCCCTTCGTCATGTTAGGTAACTATTTCCTATCTCCTCTCTCTTTTGTGTGTTTTGTGCCTCCCTGACGCATTTCCCAGCAAGCAGAGAAGCATCACTGCATGGCTCCCGGTGCCTCCTCCCTGCCAAATCCACACAACCTTTTTCCCTAAACCGTTTGTGCTGCGCTGGGGTGTTAAAATCATGCCTGTGGGCTCCGGTGCAGCATAGCACCCTGCTGTAGGATGCAGTGCCTGTGCAGTAGCAAGGAACAGGGATGCACAGAAGTGGAGAGAGGGAGCCCAGCTGCTTTTCTGTGAATGTTTGATTCTGGGTTTGGTAGCCAGCATTGGAGGGAAACATTTGTAGAAGTCCCCGTGCCACAATGACAGTGTCAGCTGTTCCAGTAACTCAAAGGGGCGCTGTGTTAGGCATGAAGAGAGCGCTGGGTCCTTCAGAGGGCAGAGCAGTGCTGTCATGGCTTGCCAGGCAACCTGTCTGTGGGATAAGGGCAGTGGTCGGTTCTGGATTGCGTTTCTCCTGGTGCTCCTGTGTTGGCTGAGTGAAAGTAGGGAGGGTTTCACAACAGTGGCATGGAGAGCATTGCTTCCCTCAGTCAGAACGGCCCCGTCCACGTAGTGCCAGAACATCCCCTGGTGGAGGGCTATGAGGGGAGCACCAGTGGCCGCTCCCTGGCTCTGGTGCCAGCCGAGGCATATTCATTTTCCCGGTTGTTGTACCGCCTTCACTCACCGCAAGGTGTGGGGTAGTTTCATTTTGTTTTCTTTTCCTCAAGAGTACGAAGGAGGAGGAGAGAAGATGGTCAGCTTGCTCCCAATCCAAAACTGGTGCCCTCTCTTGTTGGCACCAGAGCATTTGTGGGGATGCCATGCATTGTATCCAAACAGGCAGGAGGACTTCACGGGAGACAAAATGAGAGCTCTGGAGAGTTCACAGCCTCTTTGTTTGTGTTTGGTTCATAACCAGTGTGAAAAGCTTTGTGAACTGTAGGTGTTTAATATGTCCTCATTCACGCCATTATTCATTTGTGGAGAATAATACATGCATTGATTTGATCACAGCTTCCCCAGCTGAAAATCAGTGCTCAGTAATACTTCAGGTTTCAAGTGTAAGAGTGTCTCCACTGACTTAGTCACATCGTGTAGTGATATGACAGATTTCAGCACAGCTATTTTTATATCCAGTGCCGTGTTCCTATGCCATGCTCATACTGTAGCTGTGGTATTGTTGCACTTTAATTAAAGACTATGCTTCAGTGCATCACACTCCCAGTTAACGTACAGAATATATTCAGTGACAAAAAGAATTCAGCTGCATTGCACTGGCTCTCATTTTCAGATGACATCCATGAAAATTAAACTGTATCATAATCTGGAGGAAATGCAGCATGAGAAAGAGTCAAAAGAAGGCTATCTTTCTGACCTACGTCTTTGGTTTCTTTTGTGGGTTTTTATGCCTGTGCATTGTTATAAAATTCAATTCCTCAAACTAAGTAGTGTATATTACATACGATATTAGGGAGGTGTGTTGCAAGAGCAGTAGAAAAGCAGTCTAAAGTCCAGCTGTACAAAATGAAAATACCTGGGGAAAGCAACTCAAAAATATGAAATATTAGCTCTGCTTAGGGGTCAAAGCATCTGCTTGCTGGTACAACCTTTCACTAATAATGACTATCTTAGATTTGAAATCCTTAAAGAATTACAGATAACTATGAAAAGTTTCACACTTCTATTTTAATGCTCCTTTAACTGCCGAGCTGTACAACCAACTCTGCTTTTCTTCTCCGTTTTTTTCCCCTTGGGTTTTTTTTTTTTTTGTCTTGCCTAATTGAAGTATTCTACTCTTACAAGGAGTAGGTTTCAAATACGGAGCTCACCTCTCACTGTGAACGAGTCAAGACAGAGCAGTCAAGCTCGTATGAATCTTGCCTGCTTCCCCAGCTACATAAAGTCTCCCAAGGAGCAGGAATCTCAACGGGTGGACAGAAGGCACTAAAGGCATACATACTGGAATTTTTAATGGGAGCTGTTTTAAACCAGCAGAGAGCTAGAAAGGGAGGGTTTCTGGGTTTTTCTCCTGCAGTGCATTTCAAAATTTATTTCATTCCTCTATGTTGTTTTGCTTATAAAGGGTGGTTTAAGTCAAGGTAACTGAAGGCTGGAGACACAAACCACCTTCTGTTATGGCCCACTGAACTGCTTCCACTTAATTTCAGTGACCGTCAGATTAGATCATAGATAAACTGACCTTTAGAAAGCTAAAGGATTTCTGGCTAACAGTGTAGCCCTATTGCTATTAATCATACTCTTATGGCTAAAAGCAAAAATTAAATAGAAAAAATTACTACACTGGACACATTTCAGGCAAGGCCCCTTTACTGGTATAAATCATTAATGAAGTTTATAGCAGCTGAGGATTTTTAAGTTTTTGTCAGCATCGTGGAGCCAGGGAGACACAATCCAGACATCATCTGCTCTCTGCCACAGGGCCAGATCATGTCTTTCTTAACAGATAACTTCTCACCCTGTATTTTGTTTCCTCCTGGGCCGCTTCCCCCTGTGTTTCACTGCACTACTGCGACAGCATTTGCATCATGTCTAACCTGAATTCCCCTTTTGCAACTCAGCTGTTCTTTTGATTTATCCACTGCATCTGGAAAACTATTTTATTTTTCTTTGCATCTTTGGGACCACTCTCACTTGCCCAGTTCTATTCCCTTTCATCCCAGGTTTCCTCACGCTATGCCTACCAGACTTCCAGCAGTCTTCTTGCTTTTGGCCACTCCACATCTTCCATGGAGTGCGGTGCCTAAATCCAGGTGCAGGATTCAGGCCGAGGCTTTCAGCAGCAAGTAGAGTAGGAGGATGATTTCACACATCTTGCATATGGCACTCCTGTTCATACATCCCCATATGACATTCATCTTTTTCTCAGCAGTATGAAATGGTTAGCATTTGGTTGATGGCACATGGCAATTCACTGATTCTCCATGTCACTTTCTACCCTGTTTGCACAATTAGCTATTCCAACCAACATGTAAAAGTTTGCCTCTTCATTAAGTCCATCACTGCCCTTCCAAGATGCATTAGCTGAAGTTGGTCAGCAATGTTTTGCAATTATTCACTTTTCATACTTTCAAGAATTACTTTCTGAATAGTTTAAGTAGTTTGTCCAGTCACAAGCACATTCTGATAATTTGGGAGTATCTCTGCAAAATACTCTGTTCAAGGTGCTTTGTAATACTAGATTTTAAAAATCTGTTTTCTGTAACATCCCTTCTGCACCAATCATTTCAAAGAGCAAACAAGCTACAGTGAAGGGTACCAGCATCTGTAGGTGTTGAATCCTTAGCCTTTGCGTCAATAAGACAATTCTAAGTTACTAAATTATCAAATTGCACTATTAAGCTCAGGCTGTGTAAGTGTAGGCAGGAACATCTTTTGCCTACCAACCTGTTAAATATGACATACTGGTTTAAACGCTTCATGCTTTGGTTTTAATCACTTTCATGGTAGTTTATTCTAATTTATTTTACTTTTTAATGAAGGCAGGTTATTGTAACCCAGCTCACAAAAGGTGTCTCATTAAGTCAAATAACTCAGTCACTGATGACTGACTACTGTAACAATTTGTATGTTGTGGCAGGTTTCTTTTTAGCCCTCACTGGTTGCTAACTGAATGGCAAAAATTGAAGCCAGCAGAGATGTTGCCAGAAATCTCTTTCCCCAGCAGGCACCAAAAGAGCAGAGGTACCCTTTGGTTATCAGCGGTCACTAGCAGAGAGGGGAGGGCAGGCTGGCTGCAGCCACTCTTTTCTCTAGGGGCATCTTGTCAAGTCAAGCTGGGAACTGTTCTTCAGCTCTGGATTTATATAGGTACTTCTAATGTGAAAGTGAAGCCTAAAACCTGCAAAACTTGGCAGGCTCTTACCATTCGTCTGGGCATATTTTGAATTAGCATATGCCTCTGGTTTTCTTTTAAACTATCATCTGCATTTTTCAGTGTGTAAACAAGAAATTTAAGGACAAGATTATTCACATGTCTAGTTCATGTGGAATCGTTTGCTGAGCAAAGACTATTCATTTTTGACCCCAAGAACCAAAAAGTTTAATTCTTCAATTTGGTTGAATTTAAAATAGCTGATTTATAGTGTCAGCTGAAAAGCAGAATGAAAATTCCGATTTCCTATTGCCTAACACATTAAAAATTACAGATGTTTGGTCTGGCACAGATGCTAATGTATTCATCATAAGTTTCCCTTCCACATTAAATGTTGTTTAATAAATGCCAATCCTTTAAAAATACCAGTTTCCTCAAAAAGAACAGTGTTACCAAACAAACCACTGGGCAGCAAGCAGCTCTGGCTGAACAAGTTCTTGGCATGACTTTTTTCACTTCCCAGAGGTGGAGCACAACATCTAACTTAGGGACTCAAACAAAAATTGCAACATTGCCCTTTCCACTGAAGAGAAAACTAGCAGTCTGTTTCCTATTCCTTCAGGAACTCCTACAGCTTATTTGGGGAGAGGCGGCTCTCTTCAGCTGCCAAATTCGTGAAAAGCATGGGCTCAGTGAAATCACGGTGGAATGCCAGGCACTGCCAGATACGGGCATACAGGGATGCAGGGCCGGCTCCACGGGCTTATATTTAGCCTCCGATGCTGGCAGGGTAAAACCAGCTAGCAGTTACGAGAGCAGATTGAGCCTGCAGCATGCTGCAGACGGAAATGATAGCCAGCCTGTGTGAAGCTCAGCAAAACAGGGATGAATGCAAATACCTGTTCTTACAACCTCACATCCCTGTCAGTACACCCTTTCTGGGAAGAGAGAAGGGGAAAATGGTCAGCAGAGCAAGTCCAGGGAGGGTTGACTGGGAAGGAGCACGTGGAAGCACGGGGAAGGACCAGGCAGGGTCCTCCTGAGGTTCAGCCACAAGTTGGGGTAAGTCAGGCAGAGAAGGAGACTATACGGGGCTGGATCTGGCAGGAGCGGGCACAGGAGCAGGAGAGGTACAGAAC